TAAAAAGTTTGGGAGTATAATTACAATTTATTTTTTATATTTCTTTTCATTTTATTTGTTTTATTTAAATTTGAGGGTATAATGGTCATTTTACACTGAAAAATAGTGAAAATGATGTTATCCACACTGAAACGTTGAAATAGGGGCAAAAATGCAAAAAAATGAAACGTTGGGACGTTTTGCACACTAACTATCAAACGTAGGGACGTTTTGTGCTAATAAGCCATTTGAAATTGGTAAAACTAAACCTGTTCTTTATGTATTGTTCCCATGAAACTACCATTTCTTTTTAGGGAAAATTCATATTTAAGATTAAGTATAATTTCAAAACTAAGATACAAGGTTTAAAACTTCAAAAATTAGATATTAATCATATTTTATTTATAAAATGATTAATTGAAAATATATTTTATTAATTAAATATTAAGGTCACAATTTCATACAATTCGTTCACAAATTATCGAATTAATTTGTTACAAATTATTTCTTGGTCACATTTAAAAAAATTTATAGGTCAAATTATTTCTCGATCACAAAAAAAAAAATAAAAAATTATAGATCACAATTTATTCATCGGTCGCAAAATTGCAAATTTTATAAGTCAATTTATTTAACTGTTACAAATTATCAAATTAATTGGTTGCAAGTAATTACTCGATAACAACTTAATAAATTGTAAGTTATAATTATATTTTTTAGGTCATATATTATTTATTGATCACAAATTAACTAATTTATTGATCACAATCAACAAATTACTTGGTCATGCAAACGCTTCCATCCCATTCTATCCCCAACAACGACCATCGTACCATCGTCATTATTGCCACGACCATCGCCAATAAAACGACCACAACTAGATAGTGCAAAACCACTACCACAACAATCGCAAAACCACCACACACTTCAACAACCGTAGAATCGCTACAACACCACCACTACACCACTCTGGCACCATCATCGTTGCCAAATCGAGGCATCACCAAACACTTCACCTTAGATCGAGAGTATCACGTGCACCACCACAACCACCACCATCCCTTCTCCGGCCTCGATCTGCTAAGTTGGCCATGCGATGAGAAAAAAAATGGGAGACAAGTAGCACCTTTGATTTGGCCAGAGGCAAAAATGAAAGAAAGGACACCCGATCTGCAGCACAACGGTAGCCCGACAAGTAGAGCCACGCACAACCACGATGGCATTCACTCCACCTCCACTACGGTGATATCCAACTGTGGTTTCTAATAGTTGCTAGAGAGAGATTCAGGATTTTGAAGTGATGTGGAGTGGATGGGGTATGTTAATTAATTTAATTTTATAATATTATTATTATTATTAATATTAAAAGATGAATTATCATCTGATTTTTGAACAAAAAATCTTTAAATATGATTTTTTAATTAGGCATTTTAAAACTTTGGGCAGGTGTAATTTGCACTTCTTTCTATCCCAAAATCTGATTAAATAGGAGAGATTAAATTTATATTATTTTCGATAAGTTTACCTATTATAGTTTGAGCATTTTTTTATCATCGGACTTGGAGAACTTTCATAAACGAATGATGATGAGACTTGAAGACAATTCTCTAAATTAGCCTTTCTTCGATGGCTAAAATACATTATTCATTTTAGGTTGTGTTTGCAAATATATTAGAGAATTGTTTCGAGTTTTATGCAGTCAACTAATTCAAGTTAAATTGTAAAAATTAGAAGGGATAATTGCGCTCCTCAACCTTTTAAAAAGCTTTAGGTTTTACCCCAACTTTTCATTTGTTGCACCCATGGTCCCAAACCTTTCAAATGAGTGCGGTTGAAGTACAAATAGATGAATCCATCCAATTTTCCATTAGTTGACCAAGAAAAACAAAATTCGATCTTTTTTAACCAATTAAGTGAGGGTAAAAATGGCAACTTCATAATATTACCATATAAAATAATTAAAACTCCAAAAAATAAAAAATAAAAAAAAAATGGAAAAGGAAAATAATGAAACCTTCCTCCAGAACCAAACCAGAAAGTCTCCACTTCAAGTCGATTTTGAAGGCAATCTCAAAGACATGAAACCTAACTAAATAGAACTCATTCACCATTATCCTCCAGCTTAAGCCAACATCACAATACTGTTCAGTCCTTGACAAATAAAACAAAGAAGAAAACACGTGACAATTTGTCGAGTCGTATCTAGTTAAATGCACGAAAGGTGGCTAGTGCATCATCTTTCAATTCGAAGTCAGCACTCATCAAGACAAAGAAAATTATAAATAATATTGGATTTATGGGATCTGAGAGATAATATTGACTTCACTACTTCAGGGATAATGCCAAGCGGCAAATACAGGAGAAATTATGATTTCCCAACAGCTGTATTAGGAATACCCAGTTTTAAATAGGCATGATCCAAAAATGCTCACAAAGATAACTTAAGAGAGAGGCAATGAGGACATAAGTTAACCATAATTTCTCATTTTATTAATGATTTTATGTCAGTCGAACAAACCCTATATTCAGCCCCTTCTGAAAACATTACATCAAATTGCAACCAGAAGCAACATTTGCCAAGTCCACCAATTTCTTCGGTAAATCGCCTTCCAAGATCTGTTAAGCCAACTGTCTAAAATGTCAAAACTAGCCCAGCTTCAAGAATCCCACCAAAGCTGCAGCATGTTATGATATCCACAGAAACACATTTTGAAGTCTTATCAACAAGAAGAATGCTTTCTTCCACCATTATTATCTGCTTTTAATTTTACTTTTTCTGGGGTCAAACACTAGATTTATACAATGAATATACACAAGGCGAATCCGGACTATCGTTGACAAAACAAACCTGCAGGAACATCAAATAGATAATTCAGATTAACCAAGCATGTTTTTACCCGAAGTGCATGTTTGGTATGCAGAACTGGGTAGGGCCGGGCAGTATAGTAAACAAGTTTTCAGCTTATTCTTCTTCCTTAATTCTGTCTACTTCTATCTAATTATCCCTACCAACTCTGCCATAGAAGACTTCCAAGGGTATTCAATAATTTCTATGTCGAGTACATGCAAAATACAGTATTACCCAGTGAGCTCTTGAAGCAGATAATTAAAAAGAATTCCAAAGAAAATCATAACATTATAATTCATGGCCACCCGTTTATGCATAAAAAAGTTACAGAAGTACGATAGAACACAAATATATTTTTGTTTTTTTGGGTGGGAAACCACCATATTCAACAGCAACACTAACAGTAACAAGGATCCAAGATGTACAAGATAACTTTTCAGAGCGAGGCCATGAATATTATCAATCGTCTTTCTGATGCAAAACAGTAGGCATGCTATTATTACCATTAAGAGCAGCATGATATACTCGTTTCTCAGCCAAGCCTATATCCGTAAGAATCAAATTACCCTGCATCATAAAAGCAACAGAAAATAAGACATTTTGGCTAAACTGGCAGTAATTTAGCAATTGTGGGTGCTGTTGTTTCCACTTTTTATTTTCTTATTTATTTTTTAAGACTCCTACATGATATAATTTCAGGAAAATTACACTGTTGGTCCCTAGCACATTCCCCGATAGCAAGTTACTTTCTCATCCTTTCCTATAGTTGCACCATGAGTCCCAATGACCGAAACCGTTCAAATCTCTCTTAAATCATCCTCACACGTCCAATTTATGAAGTCATGTTATATTTCTCAACTTTGGCTGGTGCCTAGAAATATAAGCAAGGCACTTTTCCATGTGGGCCACATGACGATTCAATGAAAATTTGAACTGCTTCGGCCTTTCAATATCTAGCCCTTGTTTGGCTCCCATTAAATTACATTACATTAAATTTTTCTCTCTCTTTATTTTAACCATACATTCATCAAATAAAATAATATTACACACAAATCAAAAAATTTTCAACCACACATTTTCCCATCAATCACTATTCTAAAAATTTTCAACCCCCAAAAATGCAAAATAATGGGGGCCAAATAGGGGCCTATTATAGTCTGTGACTATAATGAAAGGTTGAGAAACTTGAGTAAAAGGTTGAGGATCAATAAGCTTATTCCCTATAATTTTCGCAAATCCTTGATAAAAACATGATTCATTATATGTTTATTTATTTAGCAGTCGAGCTTCAAATATACGACCGTCGACTGCAATTTAGAGCCAATGTCTCAGAATAATCAATAGTCAACAATTTATTAAGAGATATTTTTGTGCTGTCAAAAAGAGAGTGTGAAAGACTATATTATAATTGCCATACTGGTTGCAAGATGCATAAAGAGATTGTACTAGAACAACCAAAAGGTGCCATAAAAAGAGGTGCCATTCAAATTCCTAATTTGACTATAAAGAGGTTGAAGTGCCTAAGATGCCAGAGCAAACAAATAAAGTGTGGGATTAATAATTCTAAAGGTGCCATTTCCTAATTTGACCATAAATATTTACAAATAAAACTATTAGAAACTGATGAAAATGCAAACCTCATGAGCCATTAACCGTCGAACATTCTCAGCATAAAGCTTCGGATCATCCTTTTCTTGTTGTGATGGGTAATATACAGGTAATTGTGTCACTTCCATGTAATTTACAAACTGACAGAGAAGAAGCAACACATGGCGCGCCTGGACAACATGTATGTTAACATGACACAGTTAAAAAGATTAGACTAGTCATGACTCATGAGATCGAGACAGAAGAGTCGGATCCCTTTAGAAAAGTAAGAATTCACTATAATCAGGCATCCACAATTACAGGAAATACTACGAAACTGATGGAACTCCAAGAGATTGAAAGTTCATCCCAACTGAAATAATAGGACATTGAAAAAAAAAGATTACAAAACAAAAACTCACCCCTGACATAGAGTCCCATGCAGGGCTAAATCTTTGGTATGGATATCTTAAAATGACAGGAAGCACCGGAGCCTTGGCTAAAAATGCACCAGTCTTGAATGGAAGGATGTAGTCTCCATTTGTGGTTGTCCCTTCTGTGAGTGGAGGAGAATTTAAACAAATGGAACTGTTAGGCATCTGTAGACTCTGAACTTCACATAATGGCACAAAATGCATGATAGTATTCACCACTGATAAAATTCCACCAAAAGTTGGTTAGATGAAGTATATCCAAATTTATTCAGGGAGACAAAACTTAAAAGGCAGCAAACGAAATTTCCTTTGCTAAATTATCTTCACATGCACAAGGGTTAAACTTCTTACTTATATCACGCAAATGCTCCACACACAGCAAAAACAAAAAACTAATTTACCATGTAGCTCGCTCTCTTAGAAGGAAAAAAAAAAATAAAATTGATATTTAGCAGGAGGAAAAATGCAAACATGATACTTGTGGGAAAAATTTTTTTTTTACTGCAGGGCTATATTTTTTCCATAGTTCAAAAGGAAAATAACATTACACAATCTAAGAATTACGATAATTACATGAAGAAGAAAATATTCTCTGCTATATCCCTCCACAAATGTTATTTAAAGACAGGCATGATTGTCTTTTCAATAACCTTAATGCACATACTATTAAAAGAAGAACATTGCTAATGAACAGCTAAGCGCCTAGTTTGAAAATAATGCACAACATTTTGGTAATGAGTCACAAGCACATTGGGTAGTAATGGCATCACAAATATAACCTGGAAATAGCATCATTTTTGGGGCGAACTTATTTTGATGAGCTTCCCAGATTCTATCATTAACAACACCTGCAAGAAACAGACACCAAAAATGATGAGAATAGAGCAAAAATGCAAATGAAATGTAACACCATAAACTGAATCAGTGGAGCAAGCGTTGGTTTCAATAGAGGGAAAAACTCTTTATAAGGTTTCACAAAATATTTTGTATTTCTGAGGCAACAGCCTTTTCTGCTAGGAAGACTTCTGAATCAACCAATAAGTTTTGGCATTCATAGGTTCTGCTATTAATATGTACAAGATACCCACCGATTATTTGGTATCACATAAATATAACTCTAAATAACATCATCATGCCTGAAATTATGTCTTTCCTTATTTGTGTCGTTCAGAAAGAATATACCACCCCTATTTTGTATTGAAAATTTCTCACATTATCCTTCTTCGGCCAAACCATTAACTTCTGGACTAATAAAATGACCAAAAAAATGGAAAAGGAAAAAAATATACCCGAGACTCCCTTGAAGTTGGATGATTTTGACTCCCGCTGTACATAGATACAACCAAGGCACTTGCTGTAATAAGACAAATAATAATAGATTACGGCCTTTCGCCAAATGATTGGTTTACATAATAAATTACATCTGTGACATACTTCATACGAAAAAAGTTACCTATATAAAAAGTTAATGTGAAGAACTGTAGAGTATGATCAAGTATTACATAATAATATGCAGGTAATAAAAATATAATGACCAAAAAAATAAAAAAAAAACATGAACCAAGTGCCCACAGTCAATTCTAGACCATAATGTATGGTATTGCCATAAATACCTAAACTCTACCTAAAAATAATCAGGAAACCATAATAAGCCACCTCTGGCACAAGGTTTGGCACTTTGCAATCCCTTTTTGCTTGACAGAGAGGTCATACACACAAAAATCATGCATAAAAGGCGGCATACAGAAACGTCGGATATTATATAAGCCTATAATTTAGATTCAAGAAAAGAGTCGGAGAATGAAATATCGTGTGTCATCTGCTTTATATTCAATTCGTATTTGAACTCAAAAGCAAAAGTTGAAGAACTGGTTTTGAATTTTCCGGTCTATATTAGAAAAATAACTAATTAGAATGAATAGAACATGAAAAGAATTTTTTTTTTTTATAACCGTGGATATCCGGGCCAACTTACGCGCACCTCGATTCATTCCACAGGGCCCTGAAGTTTATGGTCGGGTATTCACCTCAGTGGCCCTGAAGGGACTCGAACTGGAGACCACTGGGAAGTAAACTCAAGATCTGACCAATTGAACAACCTCTCTGATGTTCGAGCCAGCTTGCACGCACCTCGACAAATTCCACGGGGTCCTAAAGTTTACATCCGGGTACCTCAGTGGCCCTGAGAAGACTCGAACTGGTGACTATTGGGGAGCAAACCCAAGGCCTGACCAATTGAGTAACCCCTCAGGGTTAAATAGAACATGAAAAGAATTATCCACCTATGAGCTTCCATGGCATACAATTTCTTCAATAAATGTGAACAAACCTGATGAGACCAATGAGAGGAAGTTTTGCCACCGATCTCTTCAGCAACAAAATTAAGAAGCACAATCACCAAAGTTAGAGCAGAAAGGCGTCAGTCGAAAGTCGAATAACAACAGCTATGAATAGATGTCTTAACAGCATGTGCAGGCCTTAACAAGTTAGAGAGTTAACTAACCTTGGCAACAAAGCTTGGGAAAGAGGATGACATGTGGTACAATATATCTAAATAAGATACATGATTCGACACAATAACGCCAGGTCTTTCCATATCTTCAGATTGATCCTTAGACTCATTCTGAAAAGTTTAAGAGAAATGAGCCAAAGGATGACCAAAAACAAACACAACTGCCAGTTATTTAAGTCCTTGCAAACCAAATCTTGATGAACCATTCACTGATTTAGATTATTTTTTAGCAACTCGACGGGTAGATAATATGCAGTAGTCTGCTGAAGCACAAGCACATACATAGTCAAGTCATCACAGTAGATAGGCTTATTCATTGAGATGCGTAATATATGCATACAATTAGGTCACCCATGACACTGCAATAATCTTAAATATAGTACAATATCTCAAGCAAATAAAGGAAAAACATATATGAGCACACAAATAAAAGTTGCCAGATGAATTATTTGTTGAGAAACCTAACTTAAAAAGCAACAGAATGAAAACTTGTAAGCTCTGTCAATTCTTCTTAGCGTTGCACAATAAAATGCTACTGGATACTTTAGGATGTGAATGACATCCACCTTTTCCTCAACAACAATAATTCACCAATTCATGCAACTTACATTTCTTGATTCATTTCATCTTTGAGGCGGAAGCAAATATGCCAAAATCCATAGGCAAATGTACACAATAAGCCAACAAAGTGATTGGCATAGAATCATGTGTTTGGCATGTAAAATTATCAGACTGCATTAAATACTGTATCTTCTCCACCAACACATCTCATAAATGAAGTGATGTGAATGAAATCCCACAAAGTGAAGAGTAATATTACATGCCAAACACATGATTCTATAGAAAACTCAACCCCAACAATTAAGCTTCTACTATAACGCATTGATCACAACATCTAATCAAATCCAAAGCCGAAATCACAGCAAAGCTTACCTCATTGTTCACATTCCCCTCAACATCATTACTCCTAATTGTTTTCCGAATCCAATAGAAGCCAAAAATAAACAGCAAAGCCCTCGTAAAAAACCTCCCAGTCTGCACAATCACCGCCCTCCTCCACCCACCCATGTGCGCATAATCCTCCTGCTCATCCTCCCTGTTGGGAGCCTTTAACACCGTGCAAAGCCTACAAATTATATAATAAATTACTAATATACTCATCGAAGCCACTGCTCTAATCGGAACCAAGAAAATCAGGCCGAGCGCAAGTAACAATTTCCTGGGCCAAGGCAGCTTCCCCCGTCCCATTGTCCCGTACACATCGTGCCTCACATAAGCCGCATACTTCTTCTCCATCTCTTCAATATTAGGATTGGACACTTGGGATTGGATGTGGGGAGTGTTCGGATCGGATTTGAGGAGCGGGCGTTTATCGTCGATGGGCATGGTGGATTCGGGTAGAGACGCGGAGGGGGTTGGAGCTAGGGTTTTGAGCTCGGACTCCATTGTTACTGATATAAAATTTTGGGATTTTTTCTTCTGAATTTATTGGGTAGCCATTGATGGTTTGAGGAAAGAGTGTATTTTGTAAATTTTGTTTGGGATTCCTGGTTTGGTGGGTGAAGCCGACGCGGTAAGGAAGCGCGTGTTACCTTATCTACGTCTTTGTGAAAATAGAGCGGTTTACGTTAAGTTGTGTGAGGTCTCGGGTTTCAGCCGTTCGATTAAAAAGGACAAGAAAATACGGTCTCGATCAAACCTGCGAATATAGACGGGTGATATAGGCCCAAATGTAGGGTCCATATAGTTGGGTAGAAACCAGCCTAAGTATAGAGAGAGAGAGAGAGAGAGGGGAAATTACAGGCAGTCAAGTATTTAAAATTCAGTTTTCAGTTTATAGTTTGATATTTCACTAATCAGGTTTTAAGGGATTAAAAAAATAATTTTTTTATTTTTAATAACCACCTCGTTTTTTAAGTGAAGATTAGAGATAAAATTTTAAATAAGTAAACTATATCTTCCATAACTGCCTAGAACTGCTAAACACCTTAAATCTCGCTCCTTCCTAAAAATCCTAAATTCGTTCATACCCAAACTAAATCAGCCTCTTCATTTTGAATCAAAAGAGAACTCCAAAATCGATTTTAGCCTACATTTCTCACGGGTAGAAGCGAAGGCGGTGATACTGTGAAGACACCTCGAAGAAGGGAAGGAGGTGACCGAGACGTTTTGTTGCTTTTTTGCGTACGGTATACAGTAGTTATGGTGTTGACGCGAAGTTGTGATCGGAAGGTACGTTCAGACGCTGGTGAACCTTCTGAAATTGCACGACGTAGTAGGGGAAGGACGAATGTGGCGAAGGTGCGCCATGTAGAAAAATTGAACATCACTGGTAAATTTTGACCGAATTTGGAGAAGAGGGCTCACAAAGATAACCTAGAACTCCTATCAACCCTCGAAGATTGAATCCGGACAATGTAAGTGTTTTTTTTTTGCACATTTTGATTTTTATTGATGTTTGTGACCTAGATTTTTCTAGATTGTGACCCAAAACGTAAGTGTGTTTTTTTTTTTTTTGCACATTTTGATTTATATTGATGTTTGTTACCTAGATTTTCTGGATTGTGACCCAAATATCATTTGTAATATCTCAGTCCGAAATAGGTTACAATTCAGGTTTTACTGTAACATTGGGTCACAATCCTTGATGTGCATAGGTATTGCTGTATGTGTAATGGTTCATTATTGATGTATTGTGACA